TATATATATATATATATATATATAGATATATAAAGTATATTTCTTTGATCTTTATTGAATTAGACAGATTGTTAGGGTACGTAGATGAATAGATAACGCGAACCTCATTTGAGTAGAGCTCATGAATTTAATCCAAAAATTACGAGAGGAGAATTTAATCCTTCGCATATGTTATCATTTCACTTTCATTATCAACTAAATAAATCTCATTTCCAATTACTCAATCACCCTATAAACTAATTTTATTGAACAATTTTAATTTAATAGCTTTCCCGTTTTCAGATCCTAACATATATAGTTTATAAGCTTTTAACAAGTCTATAAACAACGCATTAAGTCAAGTTTCTTCAGCTTTATATGTTTAAATTATTTATTTTATTTTGAGTTTATGACATATACAACTCTTTTTTTTAAAGACATTTTTAAAAAAAATATATAATGAATAGATTAAAGAAAAAAATTTATAATATAATTTTTAATTATTATTATTTCTTTCTTCTTTACGATAAATATATAAAAATATTCAAGAACTAAATAAGCATAAATTGAAAATAAAAAAGAAAACTAATACTATATTTTAAAGATAAGTAAAAAAGATTTCAAAGAGAAGGAGAATTTGTTTAAACAAACACAATTTCAACGAAGTTGATCCTGTCGTTGGGAGAGGCAATGTAGTGGGTTGGTAAGAAACTAGGAATGGGAAGACACAGAAATTGTTCAACATATGAGCAAATGTGTGTCTGTGTGGTCGTAACTAAGAGTCTTCATGAGATCAAAGTCAACGTGTAATTAACAATAGTATTGTTACTATATTGCAACATTAACGGAAACTAGTGGATTAGAATTAAGTCCACAAATTGGTGTCTGAAAATGTGACATACATGCTTCAGTGACGTGACCATGATGGTTTAATGGCGTATTATTAGATCCAATAATGTACAGATTTTTATTCTATTAATTAAAATTATACCTGACAAATTACTCAGAGAATAATATAATAAAAACTAAGTTATATTTTTATCTTTTATTTTATTTTAAAATTAATCTTTTATTTTTAAATTTTTTTTATCTTTTATCTTTTAAATTTGAATCAATTTGATATTTTGAAATAATGATTATTTTTAATTTTAAAACACAAATTTAAATTAGTTTTTGATTAATTCCAAATTTGAAACTTCTTTAATAAATTCATTTATATGAAAATTGTTGAATGCAAATGAAATTTAAACTAAAATGTATCATAAACATGGTGAAAGTAACTTGAAAATAAGTATAAAAAAAACTGAAAACTAAAAAATAATATAATTTTATATTATTTTTAATTATTTATAGATATAAATTTTTTACTATGTTTATAATTCTTTTGTATTTAGATGTTAATTACATTTCAGGGTTTTCATATAAGTACATATAATATTACAAGTTTTACATCTTATAATACATTACCATAAATTATTTAAAATTTGATTTAGTCTGGATCATAAAATCATAATGGATACATATATACGCCTTGAACATGGAGTTAATAGAGGATAAACCACTCTATTATTTAAATAAACCAATTCAATAGAAAAGAATTATATCTCTTAATTATATATTAAAAAAAAAGTCTTTATCCATTTCATACCAGAAAAAATGGATGCAAATGGAAAAATACTATGCTAGAAACTAATATTTGAAAGTAATTGATAGATTAAAAAGGACTACTCACAACGGTATATCAATGTTTCTCAAATTATAATGGAAAAATGTGACTGAAAAGGTAAAGTAGAATAATTTTCTTAAATGCACTTCATCCGTGATTGTATTCATTATACTCGTATAACCTAACAAAAATCCTATAGCAATCGGTATAAACAACACTAAATTCAATTGTGTTGGCTTCCCTTAGTTTGTTAGCAACACAAAATACAGTCTATTGATTTGTATAGAATAGTTTCTCTAACAATCCTTCCCCAATGAACATCATATCTACAAAGTATCAAATAGGTTCATCACTAAAGTATCCAATTATGTATAAATAAAAAAACATTTATTTAACAACAAATTTATAACTCGTGTAACATCCTAATTTTTAAAATAAAAATAAAATAAATTTGTTTAAAAATATTTATAATATAGGCTTAATTAATTAATTTAGTTTAATTTATAATAAAAATAAAAGATTTTTTAATAATTAAAATAAAATGGAGATAAACTGTAGGTTTGTAGAAAGCCTTTAGGTTAAGACTCTTTTGTCTTATCTAAAGTCTTATTAATATGAGAAAGGAAGGAAGGGTTAGGTCATAAAGAAAAACTTTGAAAAACACGCGAAAACCCTCAAAATAATGGAGATTATGCCTATTACCTTGGAGGTCCTCATTGAAGGTAAGAGGAGGAGTGAGATTGTCTCACCTTATAGGCAAGTATGAAGAGTATGAGTAGTGAGGCAATCCTTAAGACTCTTTAGGATTTATAATGGAAAGTGTCGATGATATAATTGTTAATCAAAAGTATTTTTGTGTTTTGGTTGTGAAATGATGTAATTAGTGGGTTGTGATGTTGAATGATTTTATGTCATGCATTATGAATATAGAGGGTTAGGGTTTGTATGAATTGGGGTTTATAAAGTATGACGTATGTTGTTCAATTTGAAAGAGTGCCTTTTGAGAATCTTGAAATGTGATGCAAAATAGAGAGGAAAGTGGATGAGTTTCACGTGTAGATTAGATGAGTCAGGTGTGATTTCATGGCCTTGATTTGGACTAATAGCATAATCATGCTTATCCATGAGTACACTTATGTTGGGTAGAGTTAAAGAACCACGATTGTGTTTGAAGGAATTGCTTTTATGTAAGGAGAGAGGAAAGAACCATTGTCATGCTTATAGTAACATATTTGTGCATGGTTGTCGTTGCGTGAACCATGCCCTTGCTTAGTAGATGCATACTTGTGTTGGGTTGCATTAGAGTGAAGAATGCTCGTGCTTAAATGAAGCACACCTGTGTTGCTCCTGTGCTCGTCAATATAAGTAATAATCACATTAATTTAATTAATTTAATGAAGACATTGGTAATGAGAGTGCGACTTATATAACCATGAGATTATTAAAGAGATAATAAAGAAACTAATTATTAATCAATAAGAGACCTTATGATTAAAATTTGGGCTTATTTGAGAACAAGAACTAGTAAAGAGACAAGAAATCGCGAGATGATGTTGAGTTGAGGTGTATAAGGCAAATATGAGATATGATACTTAATGATGAGAAAGCTTATGAGATATTGATTCTTAGATGTGAGGATCCTTATGTGCAACATTTGAGACATTCGACATAACCATGCAACGATATTAATGCTGATACGAGGAAATCTTGGTAGGAGGATTCAAATAATACTAGTGTAACTTTTACTAAGTATTACATCGCTCAATAACTTTATATTAAATATGAATTTTATAAATTTAACCGTTAGATTAAAAGTTCCTTATTCTTAGATCATATATATAAAATTTTATATTAATCTAAAATGATTTGATATTTCATTCTTATAAAATAAAATTGATAATATATATATATATATCAAAATATAATAAAATATGAATACTTTAATTATCTTAAAGTTGTTGTTGAATTTTAACAAAATTTGATATAAATATATAAAGTGATATGAACTTTCAATCTAACGGTTGAATTTATAAACTAAAAATTATATCGATATTGTTTGAACCCTCCATTTATATATATATATA